GTTTATAGAAAGATATATCTATGTTATACCCGACGTAAAGTTTAGTTTATAGAAAGATATATCTATGTTATACCCGACGTAAAGCTTGTTTTATAGAAAGATATATCTATATATATATATATATATGTATGTTATACCGGACGTAAAGTTTATTTTCTAACTCTTTCTTTGTAATGTTATGAATGATTAATGTAACAAAACGTCTTCAATACTCAGAAATCATGAAACTTATTTTTGTACATTCAACCATACAAAATGTTTACTAAACAATCAAAGAATAAAATCGATTTTACTCTTACGGCCATCAAAATATTTTTTATTTAGACTTCCTTATGAATTTCATATTAATTCTTATAATGAAGTGTTCAATTGGTCGTTTCTTCTTCTTAACTTGTAATATTCGATATTTCCCTGACTTAGAGATATAGGAAATATAGAGCAGACAGATTCCTGTTTTGTGAAAAGTTTTACATTTAAGATTAAATATTTTAAATAAATTATTGATTGTTATCAAGAAGTAACAAACGTGTTTTATTTCAATGTGCAACTTAACATTTTAGATTATAATTTTTAATTAATATTTTTTTAGTTCCCGAGAACTTATTTACGTCTGATCTATTTAATAACATGTCAATCTGATAAACATGTGATGCTCTAAGTTAAACTTTAGTGTTAGTTAATTATTTGTCAAATATTAATGCTGTTTATTCATTTACTTACTATAAACTTAGGTATCTAGCATTAGGTGATTTCTGTGTCAAATTTGTTTTTGGTGTGTTTTTTCTCAAATAATAAATTGAAATCAAATATTAAAATTAATTACGTGAATATCTGTAACCAATCTCAAACTACAATACGAAATATTTCGAACAAAATATATATTATCATTAAATATTTGGAAAACTTTCATTGTACCTAACAATACTAAGAAAATATCAACCACTAGTATTAAACTTTGTGGTTGATTTATCCCGTTCTTTCCTGGTTATTATTATTGAGATTCAATATTATTAAAACCTTCAGCGTACAAAGATCAACTACTAGTATTAAACGTTGTGGTTGATTTATCCCGTTCTTTCCTGGTTATTATTATTGAGATTCAATATTATTAAAACCTTCAGCGTACAAAGATCCACTACTAGTATTAAATGTTGTGGTTGATTTATCACGTTCTTTCCTGGTTATTATTATTGAGATTCAATATTATTAAAACCTTTAGCGTACAAAGATCCACTACTAGTATTAAATGATGTGGTTGATTTATCCCGTTCTTTCCTGGTTATTATTATTGAGATTCAATATTATTAAAACCTTCAGCGTACAAAGATCAACTACTAGTATTAAACGTTGTAGTTGATTTATCACGTTCTTTCCTGGTTATTATTATTGAGATTCAATATTATTAAAACCTTCAGCGTACAAAGATCAACTACTAGTATTAAACGTTGTGGTTTATTTATCATGTTTCACCCTGAGGGCATTAAGTTCAAATAAAAGATCGTACCTTAATAAAACAGGTTTTCGTGCGAAAAAAAAAAGGATATAATCCTGAATGTTTTATTACCGTGAATATGCAACCTTTTACAATCCACAGAGTGCACAGCGTTTGGAATTCTCTAATACGATTACACGGTATGAATGCCATACAATGATACACTATGTACAATGTTAGTGAACAAACACCGAGTATAATGGTCTGTCCACAATTGAAAAGTTCATCAACCTAAAAAAAAAGAAATAAAAACGTTCGTTAAAATCGGTATTTGTATGTGTTTGAACATATATATATATATATAAGCTTCCATACTGACAGTATCAAGACATGTACATACATGGGTTACTGATAATCACTGTCCTAATATGGCGTAGGCCATCGCTGACTGATACTATTTGGTGAGGAGTTGCTTCCAGTTATGTTTCGATAGGTGTCATGAGCAACTTGTTCCTATTGTTATTACAAATGTAAGTTCGAGTTGAAGTCTGGCTATGGTGTTACTTTCAGAGTTAATTCCTAAGGATGTTCTAAGAGGTGAAGATCTGGTCTGTAAGTGGATCATTCCAAAACACTAATATTATGACTAGTCGTCGTGCTTTGTGGCAGGAAGAATTATTCTACTGGTCCTACTGACCAAAAATGAATTAAGCAAAGCCCCTAGCGCATGCCCATTTAAGATTTCATAACATCTAAAGGCATTTAAGCTGACAGGCACTGTACGGGGTAAAGATCCCATGCCGGCATGCCCAATGTTCAAATGCCTACATATTAACGTATCACATTGAAACATAACTTATCACCCCACAAAATTATCAGGAAAGCATAATTCCGATATTGACAGACAAAACGTTCTCAGGGATGTGGTATAGTTTGTGGGCTCTAGTCCTTTCAGAATACCGACATCCCTGAAGAAGTCAAAGTCACTGTTACAAACATTATATTCAGTGTTCCTAGACTTCTTAACAAAGTGAATGCCTGTCACTTTCGGCCAACCTGAATGTACTGTATATGTATGACTACCAGCCCCTTGATATTACTGAATGGATCCAAAAATGGCTCTTAAGCGTGTATTGTGTCTATTACATTTATTTGTTTTCCAACCTTCTAGCATCTTTTAATCTTCCCCATCTTCAATTCGCATAATTGAGGAAGTTATGTTACTGTTTTACTAACGATCTACTCATCTCATTTTTCGGTTTCCTTGGAAACCATGTCTTGTTATATCTTTACAGAGACATTAATTAAAAACTCAGCTGCTTTAAGGGAATAGAATACAAATTTGTTGAAGGAATGTGTAGCATATGCGTCTATCATCATAATAGCACTATAATACTATTTACCTCACGATTATCGTTATTCAAAAGTACTTGGATTTAGAACAGTTTTCTATGTGACTCTTTCCTCTCATCCTGCCATGACTTATGGGTTGAACAAACGTTATCTAGACTTCTCATGTTGTGTACAGGTGAAATGTAAGGCAATTTTTAACATAACGACGCGTAGGTAAAACTTGGAGAACACATCCACAAAACGAAGCAGACTTTAATATTGATTTATAAAATTTTGTTTTCCAGCAACATTTGCTTAGATTATACACCAGAACTATGCGTTAAGTGCATAGACGTATACAATTGTATAAGAAATGGAAACAGCTTTCTGTTTAAAACATTAGATGAAGCTATCTAACCGAAATAAAAAAGTAGATAAAACAATGATGGAAATATAAAACAAAAACATCATCCTTTATCTAAAGTAGCCAAGGGTATACATAAACTTACCATTAATAATGACACATTTTCTGATTGCACGGTTGTTCTTCTATCAGAGGTTTACAAGAAAGACCTCCACGTTTTGGTTCTCTTTTTATTTCTCTAACCCTTTTCTGAAAGCCACCTGGGCCACAACTCACTGAACAGGGAGACCATTGACTCCAAGAGGTCATCTTGCAATCCACAGCTACAGAAATGTATTGAAATGGGGCACAAAACTTAATTATAGCTAGTTTAGCATAAAATCAGATAATTTACCAATTTTATAAATAATTACAATCATTCTGATAAGTCGTGACTTTTCGTGAAAAAAAAATGTCAAAGAATGTTGTATCAGTAACATTGCTAATATGTGACAGCAGATCTATAGCAAATGTAAACGAATCTTGTCCAACAAAGAGTTGAAGAATTTGATAAATAGTCCCCGACATGCCGAATGATGACTGAAAGTGTGTTTAAGTATTACTTTTACCGAATATAAAGTAAACATATAAATGTTTACAGTTTTGTTTTACTAAGAATAAGATGTGTCACAAATTCAGTAATAGACCTAAATACAAAGATTTTTCCTGGAGTCTGGTTTCTGATTCGTCACTCCCCATTATACTGATATACATATCAAGTTAAATAACTACACGAAAATCTGTAGAAAAAGCTAAACAAATCAGCTATTTTTGTTTCCCTTTTTCTTTTTTACTGTACGATTTATTTCTTTGACAGTCAACTTTATCTTTGTGAAGCCCATAATATAACTCTATTTATCTATATAATAAATATATTTTCCTACCCGCATCTTCTTGTTCTGCATTCTTGGCTGCATGAGAAAACACAATTGCAACAACATAAGCACACAAAATAGAAATCAGTTTCATTATATACTACTACAATAATTTCAAGTTGAGAACTAAGTTTACTATTATAGATTTTGTTCCGAAAATCATATTTAATTTATTGTTTATTTTATAAATTGACCACCTTTTCTATCCATTATGTTTTTATAAAAACACGAGTGTTATACACATCGGCCATTAACGAGTCTGACCAGTTCTACTGGTAATAATAATTTAATTCAAATACGAAATTCTCTAATTCGTAACTATTTCAATGCGTCACATTAAACCCAGTTACAGAAAGATACATGTTACATACTCATGGCACATCATGAGAACTATGTTCCAGATCCTATGATACATTTATAACTACTTCCTATATCGTTGATCGTGCTTAGTTTTATGGCCTTGATTATGTACTGTTGCCCGACACCACAATCTCCATTGCAACAAGGTTCAGTGAAGACAGTCTTACATCACACATTTTGACGAACTTTCCGCGGACCCTCTAATGTGCGTAGACGTCGGCTTGTAAATCACCTATACGCTCACAAAAGCCACTGGAGTTGCAAATGAAGATATGGCAGTCACGTCATCGAAAGACATTATCGTAATTCCAGTTTATTTTATCTCCTTCCTCATGCAAACAGTCGTTGATTTCGAGAACTTGCTGGAAGAGTGTGCGCTCTTGATTGCGTGTTTTCTTCAATCTCGAATCTTTGTTTGCAGTTTCGTGAACAGAATTTTGGGTCAGAGGGTTCTTTTTTTTTAAATGTTGACTCTTTTTGGCTCAACATCGTTTATCAATCTCAACACGAACATTCTTCTTCGGAAAGGGCTGTGACATAATCCTACAGTCATAAGTCTATCTTGTGCCGCATTGCACTGTCGAATGTCGGAATTTGTCGTAAACCAAATATCTAGGTATTAAACATGTGCCATAGTTTGTATTTGTAGCGACAGTACACTATATAAGATTATTTCAGTCGTAATTAAAAAGTATCGTTAAACTTCTGTATACATATGTTTTCTTATTTTTCATGTACATTGTTCACTAACATAACATTTCATTATAACTAGTAAATAATAGTGTATACATACGACATTTTGGATTGCTCTTGCACTTTCGACGCTGTACGAGTTTTTTAGGACACTCAGCTCCTCCATTTTGAGGATGCACCTCAATTCTTCTGTAACGTCTTCTCCGTGCTTTCCCACAAGTCGCGCTGCACGAACTAAATTCTGACCATTCAGAAACTTGGCAGTCAATTACATGCATACTGTTCTGGTTATAACCTCTGCTAGGTGACGTGGCCAGCGTACTCAGAGGAACTAGGAGCGAAATAATGAATAGGAATCTTATTTTTAATCGTTATAGATGATGTATTGATAAACAATATTGGTCATATATAATATAGATGACGTATTGATAAACAATGTTGGTCATATATAATATAGATGATGTA